AGTTTTTGGCTTTCTAACAGTCTTCTGTCAAGTTAGCTGATAAAAATCAGTTCATCAAATGGCCAGCCATGCAACACCTGAGAAGGGGGTAGCTCTGCACTGACCCAAGCAAAACAGAAGGAAAAGCAGACCTCTTAGAGTGGAAGCATCTCATTATTCCGCCCTGAGCTTTCTGCACCCTTACAGCCTCAAGCTCATTCCATAATGTATCTAACCATGAATCTTGTGAAGTGTTGCAATACAACATTAAAAGGGCAGATTTTCAAAACAAAACAAGCAGAGAAAAGCTTTCCTAGGAATTCTTGCTTTTCATTTCTGTCAAAGTTGGCTATAATCAGATTTTGAGCATGGTGAAACTCCAAATGCTGCCAGGTATGCTCAGTTATTCAATACTTTATATGGTTTGCAAATTATTTTTTTTTAACTCCAGTCTGTCAAATCTTATGTTCAGTACTTTTTATAAAGTAAAAGGTTACTGTATATAGCCACTGGCCATTATGCTTACATTAGTCATTCAGTTTATGAATAATGTGTTATACACAACAAGAAACATCAAAACTATCTCCACACAGGCCAGACAGAGTCATCGGGGTTACTTAGCTATGCTCAAGCACCATGTGAACATGGCTAAAGCTTTGAAAGACCAAACACACTCTAGCAACACTATGTGCAAGTAAGATGCCTTTGCAAATGCATTACGCAAAAAACAAAAACAAAAGCCAACAACAAAAGAATTTGGGATCATTTCAACAGACACAAAGTGGGTCTAAAAGCAGTATATCTTCATCTCAGGAAAGCAAAAACTACATGTAACAAAACCTCTCTTTCCTTTAATTATGAAAAATTACTACATAACTAGTACATATATTGTTTTATCATATTGACAGAAGATATCCAGGTCTGAGTTGTGCAAGAAAGATGGCATCTAATTACTAAAGCAATGGATGTTATCTGCCACTTCCAAGGCAGCAGCAAGTTGGATTTGGACTACAACCTGCCGGCTGAACAGCACTCAGCTACAGTTAAGTCATGTCTTTTATGAGGAACATCTTGCCACCATTCTCTTTCTGTTGCTGTGATGACAGACTGCAGTGCTAAGTAACTGTGATGGTAACTACAATATTATTTGTATATTACAGTACCATTCTAAAGGCCTGTGTTCAGCTGTGCTAAATGTGCAAAATTCCAATTTTACAATCTGAATTTGTCTATTTCTTATCCCCAGAAAAATGAGTTTACTCTGAAAATGTTTCTACAAAATCAGATACAGAATACTCCATCTCAACAATATAAACCTATCAGAAATGTCTATGTCTTCCAGAATTACTGTAGTTTACGTAGCACTTCATTTTGTAGAGATGCCAAGCAGTTAAAAAAGAACTTGCTCTCCCCTCTGAAAGAATCAACTCATCTGTAAATCTCCAATTACTTTTTATCACCTAGGAAAGAGGTGATTTCTATTTACTTAATGATCCAATTTCTGTTGATGCTGGTAGAGCAAAAGGAAAAGTACTACCAGAAGCATAACTTATTCTTTCTCATCTGTAGTTATCCACTTCTGAATACTGCTGGAGTTCACTGGATCACACCACTGCTCTAGACAGAACTCTGATCAAAAATAATACATCCATTTGATTTATGAAATGAACTTTATGTCCAACAACAGTCCTCTCGCTTTCCTCTGACTGGAACAAATTTTAATTGAGTATGAAAAAACATGGGAAACTCTCATTATCTAACTCACTCAGCTTTTTGAAAAGCCCTGGGAACATACGATCATTGCCCAATATTCCTCTTGCATCATTATAACTACAGCTTTAAACACAAAAGGAAATGAGAAACCTAAATTAACTAGGCTCTTTTCAAGTGTGAAAACTTTCAAGTGGCATCACAAAGGAGAGATTAATCCCTAAACTAGCTGAAACAGTTATGTTTTCATAAAGCAAGCTTTTCCATTATATTTATTAAGCATATAGCTTAATGAAAGACTTGCCCTAAATATTTCAGCTTTTTGTAGAAAGAAAATGTAAAGTCTTTTCCTTTATATACTCATTCTAACACTATTCACAAGAGATCAGAAAAGCCATTTTTGTGCCAAAAGTCTTTAGCAAAAAACCTCATCATATACCTTGATCGAGGTTTGGGTTTTTTTCAATAGTTTTTCCAACAACAATTTTGCATAAATAAACACAGGTGTGGGATCTTAAAAAATACTACAGAGAATGCAAATGTATCTTAATATGCACAAAGTAGGAAAATCCATTTCAACTTGCCATTTTAGTAAACTGAGTTGGTTTTCAAGTGGTCAGGTTGATGTTAGTGAGCATCAGGACCATACAGTTGCACTGGGGAAAGCATGACCTCCTTTCTGCTAAGGAACTAGTTTTTATATTGTTTCAGATGTAATGTAATTTCATCCTGACTAGCAAAAAAATCTTTGCCATTGTCACTCACTATTACTGCAATATTAATAGCCCCATTCAGCCAACAGCTGAATGAGTTCACAGCACCTCACCACTGTTTCAAGCTATATATGCACACCTTGCACATTACTAGCACCAAAATACAACTGATGTAATTTCTCTGTTGAAATGTCTAGTTCTGAATTTATACATACTTCTAGTCCACAAGTACGACCTCATCCTAGCATGAGAGTTTATCTTTCAAGGTTAAGAAAGGTTTTCAGAAACCAATTTCTTAGTTACATAATTACATCGTTAGTGATAAATTTTCTAAACATATGTTCTTTTAAGATTCTACATTTAAGACTCCATTTGGGAGAAAGAAGGCTTTAAATAAGGTCCTAATTTCATTTTTTATTTTTCCCCCACCATCTTTGCATTTAAAATATACAAATCATATTTTGAAATCTTACACAGTGTATCTTATTTTTTACCCATAGCAAGAAAAGGAAAATCCAGACCCTTCAATGTCATCATCTTACTGCCACTAAAATGTTATGACATCAGCATTGCAATTGGCCAACTAGGATAGAAATTCTAAGTATCCCTTAACTGAGACAGCATACTGGGGAATAAGTAAGCAAAAAAAACCCCTGACGTGTATTTAAATATTCTCAGAAAGAGAACTTAACTGACATCCTTAGACACCAGCTAGAAGAATTTAATTTTTTCCTAATTTTTCTACTGTTCACATTAATCCATTTTGTCTTAGCCAGATCTCTTCTTCTAGGAATCCATTCAAAATTTTTCTTATAGTACTATTCAGAAGTTTACCTACCTAATTGCTTCCAAAGTCCTCTAAGAAACATGATTATATTTATCATTTAGAGGTCCAAAGTACACTTTGTTAACTATATCATTTATTTTGGACCATCTGGTCATAATGCTCTTAATTTCCCCTCCCCCATTAACCCCCATACAACACCTTTTTTCCAAGCATCTTCACCTGGGCAGCAATATGAAAACTTCATTTTTTGCTCAACACCCAAAATTTCACTGCTATTCCATTTTTCAAAAAACATTTCACAAATATGTGACACTGTACAGAATATTTAACAAATGCACTTTTCCATCTAGTTTCGGAAGCTACTGCAATCAGTTACACTCATGCTTCAGGAAGTTCTCAAAGAGACAAAGAACATAGAAGAACTCTGGAGTGAGGAGCTCTAGTTTGCCACTAATAAAATTAGAACCAACTCATCTAAAACATCCAACTCTAAATGGAAATAATTTTATAAAGCATCACTGTAGCATCCACATGGATTTTCAAACTCACAAATAACACAGATCCAAAATTCCTTATTATAGCACACTTGAGAAAGCAAACTTTCAAGCCCAGAAAACCCAGAGTACAATACCTATTCAAAGTTAGAAGCCATGAAGTGTCATTCAAATGTTTAGGCAAAGACGGTAAGATGTAGTAGCTAAAAATATTTATATTAAAAATGATGCAAAAATTGTAGTGCAACAGAGTGGTTGTCCACATACAAAATTGGTTGATTGTTTACCTCGGGTAAATTAGCAAAAAAATGGACAACTCAGTCTTTATTTAAACCATGACTGCAGCCACTACTATAAAACACAGCAAAACCACACGTGTACAGAGTCCTAGTGAGTGCTATCAAGACAGTAAAATATCAGATACTGAGCAAATGAAAACAAGAGGCATGTTGACTACTAGAACCTATTCCTGGAGCACCATTTGGAATTACACTTACCTAATTAAATCGGTTGGAGAAGTGAGTTGTACCTCAACTAACAAATCTGAACAATCTGTATGAGTAGAAGACAATGAAGTGACTCTATCAATGTTTACAGCTATTCTAAAAAGAATTCTAAATTACTTCTAATAGAATACGCAGTAGACTTAACAGGGACAGTAGGTGAATCATCTACAGCAGTCCATCCTGCATACTCGTTTACACATCACTATTTCTCTTACCTTTTAAACAACTGGGAGCAACTGGAAACTCATCCCCTACCTTCAGTAACGGCAGAGAAGGGGAAAAGGGAGTTGAAGTTTTCTTTAATTCCCTCTTTCCTCCTTTGATAGCCAAGTTCGCAAAAATGGTTTCCAAGCACCTTGCAGCAGAACATGTAAGCAGCCTGGGCTCACAATGCCATTGTTATATGGCTGAACTGAGCAAAGAAAATCACTGGTGGTTGGCGTTTTTTGCAAGGGGGTGTGAGGTCATGTTAAAAATAAATTTAAAAGAGGCACTTTTCTGAAAAGAAGATGGTTTTTCTAACAGTCTGCACAAAAAACCACATTGCATACTCATTGTTATTAATAGAAAACCTAATTACAATGGATACATTTGCATCATTTCATACAAGAAGAACTTATAAGCTTTTTTGAGAATGTTTTGAGTATGTCCTTCAAACAGCATTAACTCATCTATAGCTCATGTAGGTTACATTATTTCTTGTTAATTAGCTGCCTTCCACACATGGCACTATCTTGAAACAGAAAACAAAGAGGTACAACATCATGGTACCAACATTATGGATTATGGGTTGAATTCAAAGAGAACATACCCACTGCTGGTGCATCATATTCATCCCCAAGTAAAATTTCAGGAGCAGAATACGCAAGGGATCCACAGCTTGTAGTGAGCTTCTTTCCAGGCTGAAATTTGTTGCTGAAGCCAAAATCAGTCAATTTCACAAGTCCTTGTTTTTCAAAGAAGACCACATTCTCTGGTTTTAAGTCTCTGTGAACTACATGCAGTTTATGGCAGTAGGATATAGCATGAACTATTTGAGCGAAATATTTTTTTGCCAGATCCTCATTCAAACCTTCTTCATGTTTCATGATATAATCAAACATATCTCCACCATCACCCAGCTCTAAGATTAGGTAAAGCTTAGTCTGGGTATCAATCACTTCATACAGCCGCACTATATTGGGATGCTGCACTAGTTTCATGCACCTAACTTCTTGAAAAAGATGTCCAGTGGCTAGAGTGTCCAGTTTTGTCTTGTCAATTACTTTGACTGCTACTTTTTCACCTGTAAAGACATGCCGAGCAAGTTTGACCACAGCAAAATGGCCTCTGCCCAAAGTTTTATCCAGGTCATACAATCCTGCGATTTTTCCGTCATATCCTCGTTTGAAGCCTGCCATTCTGTTTCAGAAGATGAAATAATATTTAAGCTCTTTGGAAACGTGGTATTTTCATATAAGAGTATCTGAAGCACATAAATAGTCCATCATCACTGCCAAGCATACCTAAAAACAAAGAGACAAGATTACATATTTGTATATAAGCAAGTAAAATTACTCTAGTGTAATTATCCTAAAGTTACATTAGCATATTACAACAGATTATTTATTACATTCTTCAGGAGCTTTTGCAAAGGGTTTGATAAGCCATTCTGTGCTAACCAGCAGATTTCTGACACCACATTATCAGTATGCTTGAAGAAAGTGTGTTTCAACACTACAATAATGAACATGTCTCTCAAACTCAGTGGCCTTCATTGTCTTGAGGCAGAAACCTTCCAAGAAGCACTTGAAGAAATCAGTGTTATAAGGACTGTTAAAGTCGGCAAAGCTGAAATCTGTACCTTTTCCAGCTACATTAGAAATCAGATGGACAGCACAGAATATTGGCAAGAGGAGCATACTTGATTTATCTTATTTTTGGCATATTCCATACTGCACGTGAAACAGCCCTAGTACAAAATTCTGATGTCATGGACTGTTACCTTCTCCCTTTTCACAGCTTCCTGTTTAGCAAGGCTCAGACTGACACACAATACTTAATTTTGTTACTCTAATTAGTTTGAGCATTATCAATCAGTACTGTAATTACAACCAATGAAGCTTTACAGGCTGAAATCAAACATTTTAGTTGGATGTACTCTTAGTGTTAAATAAAATGCCTTAAATATTTTGACTGAAGTTACAAAAACTGGTGATAAAAAGTTTGCATGTAGGCAGCATATGTTCAGCAGTCCTGGGAATGAGTCAGGGGTAGGGGAAGAAGAGTGGGAAGGAAGGGGAGAAAACTCAAAGAGTTCAGCTTTTATGTGCCAAACTCCTGCTTACCAGATAATTCATCATTTAAGTAAACAAGACTCAAACATTCATATTCAAAACTGGTTTTGAAGGTCTTATATCCCATTGCCATTTTTTTCCACATACAAAACCTCCCAAAAACTTTTCCTGCATTGTTAACTTAGACTGAGGTTTAAATAAAAAACTGTACCTATCAAAAAGCATTTTTTGCAACTTTGAGTGCAAAGCAGCTGGAAATATGATGGCTTATTGCCAACTCTACAAAATCCAGAAAACATAGCTCTTTAGAATGTATTTTCACAGTTTCAAAACCAAACTTCAAAAAGAAAACCTTTGAAAAGGAAGTTGGCAAACAAACAGCTTCTTACATTAGTTATTCTCAAGCTGAAATGTAAGCATCAGATTAAAAACACTCCCTGCTAAACAAGTTATTTCACAGTGAAACTAATGAACCTGGTTTCATACGAATTCAATTACAAGGTTGGGGGTCCTATGAGGATTCTCTGATGTTTAACAACCTCACCTTACTGCTTCTCTCAGCTGGAGCCATGGTATAACCTCTTTGCTATCCAGCTGCCTGCTTCCACAAAGTCCAAGGGAATTCAGTTGGAGACCTCCACACCTGTAAAATTTGAATGAAATCAATCAACTTTCAAAAATTCACAACCCAGACAAGGAACAGGCTAAGTGTAACAAGCATAAAAAACATTGAGGCTTGGGGTTTTGTGTTGCTATATGCACCCTTTCATTCTGCTACTAAGCACTATGCTTCAGATGCTCTTCCAAAAACCCCTTCACTTCACTAGAAGATGCCATAGTATCAAAACTGGGGTTGGCGTATCTGCTTCCCAACGCTTCCCATACTGCTCATCTTACAAAGTTTCCCCTACCACTCCCATGTAACACCATTCCATCCTCATTGAAAAAAAGCACAAAACTAAATTAAAGCATGCTAGGATACACTAAATGCCCACGTCAAACACTCTCCTACCTGCTAGGTAACCATTAGGGGACGCATAGGGAAGAACACAGTACAATGGCAAATGTAACAATAAAGAATGAAACTCTCCTTATCTGTAAGAGATTCAAAAACTTCTTTACATCTGAGACCAGTGGCTTTGTGTTTAATAGCACTTGATGGATTCCACCACACCCTTCCCTGTGAAACTGGGCAGGTGCTTTATTAAAGCATGTGAATTTTTAGCATCAAGAACATACTGCAAGAGAGGTGTGTATCTTAACTATGTGCTGTGAGAAGAACCACTTCCTCTTGTTTGTTTTTAATCTCCTGATAATTTGTGCATCTTCTCATTCACCGTCTGTTCCAAAACAAAAACTATCATACACCATTTACCTTGCCTCAAGCAACTCACAGCTTCAGCTTCCTCCCTTTCTAGCTCCAGTTTAATCTTGTTTGAGTCCTAGTCTGTCACTCCTTTTGCAGAGGTGAATATTCCAAAGGCTTTAACATTCTTCTCGCCTTTCTCTACACATTTTCTGGTTTATCCTATTCTATTTTCTTAAGCCAATTTTTTTCACTACCGTTTTCATGCAACGCCTTACTATAGCTGTATAATATTCCATCATATTGACCTAAACCCCAAACAGCAGACTAATGAAAAACAGTTCATGTACACACACAGACCACCTAACCCTAACCTGTATGAAGCAATAGGAGATATATTCATCAGTTGTGCTCCATATGGTTATGTGACTCCAGAGTCCTAATCTTAAAGGGACTGCCAGTATTTTAAAAAAAAAAAACACACGCAAAAAACCCAAACACAAACAACCCCCAAACAAACAAACAACAACAAAAAACCAAAACAAAACCAAAAAACAACCCAACAAACCACCCCTCCACACAAACATGCTTTATAGTACTGCTGTCTCCACAGCATCCTAATCTGACTCTTCACTGCTTCTAGATTAAAGAAATTAAAGGGAAAAAGGAGCACAGATATTAAAGACAACTTTTTTTTAATTGTCACTAGGATATCATCCCTTCTTACAAATCTGTTTTGCCCATTATGATATCACATAGTTAATACCTTCTGCTAAACTACTTAACAATTTTAGAACCCTTGAGTTAAAAAATAAAGACTGTCAAAAAACAGAAAGCCATTCCCTACTCAACTGGAGTTAGCAGCAACACAAACTCCAGGGTTCACTGGACCATTTCTTCCTTGAATGTTAAGCCAAACCTCAAGATTTACATCTCTATTAGCACGAGTTCATCACATCCTACAGATTTAGCGCAGATCATCAACCACCTTTTCTCTCTGAGAGACGATATGGCTTTAAGAGAGATTTTCTGTTAAGTCTTGGATGCAAAAACAACACCTGCAGACAAAGCTGAGCATTTGTACTGTGTGGCAAAACCAAAGTTTTGTTAATGGAAGAGGTAAGGAAAAGGGAGGTAAAAAAGCCTCAGCCCATTTTTACTTCACTTTTCTTTCTTAAACTGAAGAAGGTTCCATCCCTGGCAGAGCAAAAGGGAGAGAGCAAATCCAGCCAGATGTAACAGAATGCCACTTGTCTGAATTTAACTGCAACACTCAGTGGTAAGGAAAGATTTATACTCATTATTTTGTTCACTTGGCACATTCTCAACCATCTTAGTACAAACTCAACAAGTGATTTAACCGTAAATCACAGAATACACATAAACAACCTGTCAACAGAATTCCAGCAAATATCAGTTACGCTTAAGCCATTGAGAAGTACATCAGACAGTAATCAATAAGATAACAGTTTACAGAAATGGAAGATAAACTACACTTACTAATGTTGCAGCCCCATTAGCTGTAATAAAATTCATGTAGATTCATTAACAGTTTAACATAAAGTCTCCTCAATAACAGAACACCTAACCCTTAATTCTGTGGTTTTAAAATAAATCTCCAGAGATGAAGCTCCCACAGCTAAACACATGGATCTTAGATGCACACATGGTTAGAACATACCAACATTCTGAATGTTGGTATGTTCAGCAGTAGGAAGTGGATGCAAAAATGTCATATTATATGTAGATACAAGCCATGATTACAATTTAAATATGCTATCTAAAGGATCACAGTTGCTATACCATTACTTTTGCCAGTTTCTATCTAGAAAACCAGAATTTTGAAAGTACTTAAGGATCAGCTAAGAGCTTTTGAGCTGAAGCCTCTTTGAGACCCTTTCTTTGCTGTTGTCTCCCTAATTATCACGGTGAAACTTTTGGGGCTAACTATAGATGAAACCACCCAAAACTTACAGACTTAGCATCACCCTCCAAAACAGGGTTGCTTTTAATGACAGATCATTTCAGCAATCCAGTTTACTGTGTGACCCCTTGAACATTTTTACCAAATGAACAATCTGTAGACTACAGCACATGACAAGCAGACTTCCCACCAGCCACACTTTACCAACAAGCCAAACTACAGCCTGAGAAAAAGCATTTAAGAGACAGTTATATCACAGAAAATATTTGTCCATCTTTTCATTCACATTGTCTCAATGTCACATTGTCTGATCAGTTCCTTTTTCAGTATCAGAGAATTTGGATTGTCAAGCTAGTGAGTTCAGTAACCATTAGCAGCCTTTAATCCATGTGGTTAATTATGGTTCTAAAAATGCAGTTTTCCCTAACTATACCAGAACTCAGCTACGCCCCCGATACTCATTTTATGCAATGTAGACATCTACCAGTAAATAAATTCAGAACAGATCCTTCCTTCCACAGAAGCTCATATAACCTATCCCATAAAATACTGCAAACAGTCACTGTAATGGAAATCTGCAGAAGCTGTTTTGTAATATCACGTGCATCCTATTAAGAAGCTTAACAACAGTACTGTGATTCAACCATCTTTAAAGGAGGGATGAATAGATCTGTTTAGACAAACAGCATGTTTCAGAGACACTAGTTTTTCTTTAAGCAATTCACCCCTTTCAAAAAGTTTCATTAGGTTCTACATTGCATGTAAGACCAGCCTAGCTCATCTTACCTTAATGTACCTTTTTTATTTAGAAAATGAAGATTCAAGGTCCCATTTAAACAAAATGTTGAAATACTATCAATGCAAAGACTTCCCTGCATTATCAGGCTAATAGACATGAAAGCTCAAGTAATCTTCACCGAGACTTTTCCATCCACAGACAGCTAACCATTCCTGTCTCCCTTCAAGATAAATGGAGATTCAGTCAACACAGATAAGAGTCTATGATAAAACAAATTGCACCCTAAAGCAGATAGCCAAATAGATCAGATGAATCATTTCTCAAAAGCACACGCTTTCATTTTCTGTAACAGGAGTTTAGAATGAATAGTTTAGTGGATGCACACATTATACACATCCACCAGATAGATTAAAGTTTTACCCCGTTTCTCCTTCTGCTCTTTTGTCGCAGATGAGTAACAGCATCTATACAAATTATTTATTTACTACATAATTGTATGCTGAGAGTAAGACTTACATTGCTAGTGTTCCCAGAAACACTAAACTCCAAATTTTACATAAATAGATTTTGGAGATTCAAAAGCAATTTTTTAACTCCGAAAGCAATTTGTACAATCATTAGAATCTGAGAGCAAACTGAAGGACGTATTAACTTAGTATGCAAACTGCCAGTATAATTTTTCACATTTTTTTCCAATATTTGATATCAACTTTTATCTGCCATCCTATTTTGAGATATCTTCAGAGGATAAACCAAGAGCCTTTAAAAACAATATGAGCCACTACTCACATGTGACAATGTTACACCCTCACTGGGGTTTTTTTCCACTGATTTTCTTACACTTTCACCTGCTTTCCCCCAGAGGGTTTTTGATCACCTTGCCTTTTACATAAGGGAGAGTCAACTCGCTAGAAACAGGTACAAGGCTTCAAGAGTGAAGTGTGAAGAACATACACACTCAATGCATAACACATGCTCTGAAAACTTGTCATGACAACTCCTCCAGAGCATTTCAAACTTTTTAAGCTCCTAACTACCCAGTATTTCTTGAATATTCAGTGCTCAATATGGCACTTAAGATCCCAAGAACCTGTATTCTCGTTTTGTTGCCACACACAGTTGTCATAGTCCACCTCTTTCACCTTCCTATGACCTTAGCCTTCACAACTACCACTGAAAGGTACTCAAGAAACAAGGGCAATCTATATCTGCCCTAGAGCCAAACACTTTGGAAATGCAGCATTTTTTCGTGGGGGAAGACACAATTCATAGGGGCAGCTGAGTTACAACTCAGCCTTTATAAACAATGCCCTCTAAAGCTTTATTTTTCACTTTGCATGAGTGGACCACAGTGTAGACATTCATCTTTCCTTTCACTGATGACAAACCCCATGAAACCTCCCAGTAAGTTCCACAACAAAACACTACAGTAGATTTTTTTTCAAGGTGTACATGCACTTCTTTTATTTTCCTATTAGGCCTCATTGTCACCGTCAGCACCCAGATCATACTGTATTACTAAAATGTCAAGATGTATCAGCAAAACTCTACCATTCAGCATGGCTGCACCTAAAATGATGAAGATCATGACGAAGAGTTATCAAGTAGTGCTATGTTCCAAATATAAAATGAAGAACTAACCCATACAATTTAATTGTATTCCTTAGTTTTAAA